TAATTGGCAGGCGCCTTTGACCTGATGATGATGATGCACCTGGTCGGCAAGTGGTTATCCGTACATGGTGTCATTCCTTCTCTTCTGTCTATTACGGTCCTTAATTGGCAGGCGCCTTTGACCTGATGATGATGCACCTGGTCGGCAAGTGGTTATCCGTCCATGGTGTCATTCCTTCTCTTCTGTCTATTACGTGGTTCGTTCCCAGGTCCTTAATTGGCAGGCGCCGCTGACCTGATAATGAATTACGTGGTTGGAAGCTGTTTGGCAGTAATAATAATATAATAATATGTAAATTCTTGGAACCGTCGGCTGGTACTAGGGAACGTTAGTGATCATAAAACCGAACGAAAAACTCGTGTTATTCCTCTGGACAGCAGCTTTTCATGTCGTTCTGATCGTGTCGTTCGTTCTCTTCTGTCGTCTATTCTTCTCTGGCCTTGTCTTTTCTTATTTCCTTTCCTTTGCTTTTGGTTTCAGCTCTCTTTATCCCGCCCCACTCTCTCCCTCTGTCATTATTATTTGTTAATTTCTGAATATATCTGATTCATATATGAGTGACTTTGCTCCTCCTCTCTTAACGTGTGTCAGTATCCAGTGAACCACTGTTTGGGTGATGTCCAATGGGTGATAACGTGGTGTCGAGTGCCGTTTTGTCCCGTCTCCTTCTCGTTGCTTGCTGGCTCCGCTTCACTAATAGACTAAATGACCACTCGATGCCTCGTCATTATGTCTCGTTATTACTCGATGTTCAATGCAACCTCATACATATGCTCAACCGCTTACTCAACCTCGCTCGGCGACGATTTCCTGGCTGGTGGCTGGTTCTCAGTTGAACTACTCGCGTTTTCATGTTGCCCCTCTGCTTTGCTCTGCAGTCTTCTTTTATCATGCTTTCCCTTACCGTTCTTATGCGCGAGGACGTCACTTCCCGTCGCTCTATGAACAACTCAGGTCTCATCTTCTTCCGTTGTCGTTGGGTTTACGCCGGATTACGCACGAATCATGAAAAATGGTCGGTGCATCTTCACGTAGAAGCTGGCAAGGTGCAATAGTGGCTGGGGTGCCACCATCTATTGAAAGATTCGCGTGACCCTTCATCACCGATCCACCAAGTTCGCTCTGCTTCCTATTCATCTGCCTTCTCTTGCGTCTTCTTCATCAAACAAACCTTTCTGAAATCCGGAGGATGCGTGGGGTGGCCAATTCGTTCTTTTTGCTGCGGTAGTCCTGAGCTGCTGCTCCCCCCCCACCCCCCTCTCCCCCCCAAGTCTTCTCTTACCGCTTGCTCTCTGATCTGAACGCCCGTTCATGTTGTCAGCATGTCAGAAAATGCCCTCCCTGCGCTAGCCGGTAAGTATGGCTCCCGTTTCTGTCCTCTTAGCTTTCTACTTGCGATTGTCTTCTTCCTTCGCGCGTCTTCTCTTCCGTGTGGATATCCTCCTTTGCAGTCGTCTTCCGTGTGGATCTGCCACATTTCTGTTGCCCACTCAACCTGATCCGCGAGCAATGAAGATTTCCACGGTACGTTATGTTTATCAAAAATCCATGTGTTTCTTAGGTGATCCCGAGTTCCAACCAATTGCGAACTTGGGGTCCTTAGGCGTCCCCACATCTCGTATCTGTTGCCTGCAGACAGTCTGTACTACATCTCTTGTGTGAAACCTCTACGTAAGTCTTCTCTCCTGCCCAGTGGGTTTTGGGCTTTTCTCTGCCTGAACAGCTTGTGTCCTTTTTGCCCTGAGGAGAGTCGACCACCGTCCTTTCCTTGGCGTGCGGATCGCCTCTGGTGTCTGCCTTGATCATATATCAATTGTTTTCATCCTCGTCCCGTGGAGGGGGGTTGCTGGGCCCCGCCTTCCATGTCCCCTGAGGGTAAGTACTCTTCGACGCTTCTCCCTTCTTGCCTCGACAGGAGCCTCACCCCTCGCCCACCATGTGTCACGCTGTTAGAGTTCCTCTGGTGTCTGCCATGCCTGTCACGTGGCTTGCCTCACACCTCTGTAGCAGATCCCGG